TTCTCTCAGTCTCCCAGTATGAGGTCCTGGATGGTTATACTGGGAGCCATGAGCTCTCACATTTGTGTTACAACATGCTAGCAGTTTGTTACCACATTTCAAACATCAAAGTGTTATTAGAACGTCTCACGCTAGCATTAATGATACCCACAGACCATATATGATGGTCATAGCCATGGAGACGTCACCCGTCATTAAGACAGCATCAGCAGCAGACAGCTGTTCCTACACTGACCTGGGAAAGCAGAGTGAATATCTCCTTACAGCGTTTGCGTCACGTGTTAAACATGTTTTCATGCATTTTACTTGCAGTTCATCGGGAGTGACTCGCTTTGGAGGTTGTATTTGATCGTTTTTGTGATGCCTCGTTTTTCTGCCCTGAGGTGGTAACTTCACAACATCACAGCTTTTTCTTTTACATGTTGACACCTTTACTCCACCATGCAGTGATGGCTTCTTCTGCACACACACACACACACTCTCTCTGCCTCTCGAGTGTGTGTTTGGTTTGTAATATAACATGAGGAGAGGGAGACGTCTAATGCGTAGTGCAATTCAACTACATACCAAAACATGTGAATACGTTAGAAGACTGCAGCGCTGAAGACCCATCCATCCTTATATACACTTGGTGACTTTAATAAGTTCACATATTGTGAAAGTGGGGGAGGGGTTTGGAAAGCGGCTTCTCCACCACGTCCTGCTAAAACTGCTCCAACACTTCCTGATATCTGGCCGCCACAGTCGCTGTTTTCTCCACTTCATGAGGAGATTTTGTTGGCGATGCATAAGGAAGTCAGGAGTATATGTGATGTGTTAGCTTCCATATCTAGTTCACTTACGTCACCTAAGCTGCACAGGCTCGGCTAAGGGTGGGACACTGCAACTAAGCCCTGTGGATACGTCTTCACATATACGCTGACAGAACCTCTGGACAGATGTGCAGCCCCACTTAGCATGCTATAGTTCTCAGCAGTGTTTGGAACAGGTGCAGGACTGGAATTCAATTATTCCTGTGTGATAGGTTTGTGTTGCTGATACTGAAGAAATTCACTGTCAGAGTTTTACCCTGATACTGATAAACAGAAGCTCAGGTCACTCGTGAGGGGAAGCAGTTGTCTCCAACCCACTTCAACTTGCTTCCCCCTGCAGGCTGTTTTTATTGGTTACACGCATGAATATTCATAAAGCTTGTTGCTGTATCACCTATGAGAAACTCCTATAACTGGTTACAAAGTGTGATTGTGCTGTGTGTGGTTATATGATGGGAGTGCAGCTCTCCCAGATTGTTGTCAGCAGAATCTGTTCTTCTCAAGGCTGCTTGTTCCCCTTGTCGAGGTCGTGCATGCAGTCATATGTGTGGGTTACCAGATAGCATTTCTACATGGTGACCTACGACACATGCATTAAACCTCACATTCGACTCTATATTTTCATATAAACGTTCCATCTTGTACAACATGTTCTAGATTTCTTTTGTTTCTAATGCTGATGTTTTTAGAAATATAGACATAAATAATCTTAAAAAGGGAACTGAGCTGGTTACTGACTGTGTCATCTTTATTTCCACGATGTGCTTCTTGCTATTAGTGTCACGTGTTGGGCTTCGTCTACATGACATGATGGTTTGAGGTCAGATAGTCACCAAATGTGAAATATAAACCAAATATCTTTAAATGGTAAAAGTTTCCTGTTTTTGTGGAACACAGTACTTTTACTTTACTCTGAGAGCGACTTCTCTACACTAGCTTTCTGTTCTCAAGTACATGTTTTTGTTTGTATTTTGTGTAACTTTTGTTAGTCTCTACCTCTGCATTTATCTTTGCACTTGTCTAAATGAGGACACGAGATGAATAAAGATTATTTAAATAAATAATTCAGTGTACAGAAATTCATCAAACTGGTTGCAGGAATGAAGCTTTTCTCACACAGGATGTTGCTGGCTGCCTTTGTGATTAATAGCTGTCTAACTAGCTGGTCAGAGAACTAACTAGCTGCACAGAGAGTTAGACAGCTGGTTAGGTTATTGAAAAACTGAGTTGTGTTGTTTGTGGACAGGAAGCAGACTTGGTCCTCTGCACTGCACAGATTATTTCCTTTGTTTTTTCCTCTTGTCAGACACGCAGTGGTGTAACATGTATAGTTAACAGTGCAGAATACCGCACATGCACACGGTGAGAGCGCTGCAGTGACACTGGGCTGTAGTTTATAGAAACATACCGTGTTTCTGCACCATGAGCCCAGCACAGCCTTCAACAGCGCGGCCGGGGAGGAGATGCCACAGCACTACTAAACAAGGACGGAGCGTGCATGTTAAACAGGACCGGCTGTGAGCACGGCACGGCACGGCTTCACTGCTGCCCGGGTCCTCGTCTGTCCCAGTGTGACTACAGCAAACCTCAACACGACACGGACACTCAAGATTTCTGTATCAGTTCAGCGCTCCGTCGAGCTGCACGAGTCATAACTGTACCGGAAACTGAGTGAAGCCGCCTTCAAAATAAGGCTCTCTCTCGGCTTGGCCATGTAATGCTACGCTTATGCTAAGTATGTTAGCATGTAAATGTAGTACATGCGATTAAAAACGTTTATGGTGGATTAACACTTGTGTTACTGTACGAACACAACAGAGAAACAGACTTAAACTAAGGACACTTACTTTTATTCTACTTTAGTTTGATATCAGCTCAGCTGTTGTTTTATTGATTTCACTTCGATTCAGTTTTATTTAATTTTGTTTATAACGCCAAATCACGACAGCAGTGACGTCATGTTGCTTCATGTTATAAAGACCAATAACAGGCTGCGTTAGTGTGATCTCACTGCCTGACCCTTGTCCACACACCGTTACATCACAACACTCCAGATCAGGAGTCAAACACGAAGCCACAGGATCAGATTCAGCAGTAACTGCGGGCACATCTTTGGTCTTTCCACAGCAGTTTGTAGTCGTAGTTAAAAGTAAAGGATGAATTCAGAGACGCACGTCCTGCCACACTGCACTGATATATGCCAGCTCTGCTCTGGTCTGCCCTCTGCACCCAGTGCAGGTGCTCAGTTTTCCCTTATGATGAATAATAATGAAATAACAGTTTCACCTCGCACGTCCTTTACGTGCTGACCTTGTGTTGTAGTCAGAGACTGCGCTTTGCTGCTGGGTTATAATCAGGGCGGTTCAAATGTAAGTGGACACAGTGACCTCTTAGTGTTACGTCACAGCCTCCGTTTGAAAGCGCTGAGCGGAAGCTCGCCGTGACTGCGCGTAGCTTGACGCAGGTACCTGTCAAAGTGCCGTTCCGCTCGCTATTTCGCAGAAACGCCGGCTGCCGTCGCCCTCCTCGGGCACCGCGCTCTCCCGCCTCATCGACCCTTCACGCGTGGAACACATGAAGGCGCGCTCTCGGGTCTAAAATGCTATTTTTAAACGTGACCTTGCGTCGAAGGACTGAACGCCGGCTCGTGTCAGTCCTGAAGGATTTCTGCATCAGATCGGCAGCTGAATGAATAGAAAGCGGGCCGTGGAGCAGCAGACAGGACGTTACGGCGCTGATGAACAACACGGCCTACATACACGGAGCATCTCCAGGACGCCAGCTGTACGGACTCCTGCACTGACGTGCTGTTCAACCTTGTAACGCAGTAATAACTGAGCTCCGTTTGATTCGCTGCTGCAGAACTAAGCATCACAGGGCAGGTGTGTGTGATCCACCAACGCTATGCAAAAGAAGGAACGACCAACAGGCAGATGGACTTTGCATGCTGGATGTTTCTGCTGACCTTCAAAGAGGAAACCAGAATGAAAAATTAAGCAGTGGCCTAAGCTCTTTGGATATTGCATAACTCTTCTTTGCTCTTGGTTCACTCCTGGGCTTTGTAGTAGCTGCTCACTGGATTAGTGTGCAGCTCACGAGGCCTGGAGGTGCACACGGAGGGTGCTGAATGGCCTTTTAGAGCTGGTCTGTAGATGCCTTATCCACCAGAAGCAAGGGATTGAATCGCAAACCACGATGTGATCAGCAATAAAGTCAACAGCCAAGCAATAAAAAGTGAAGACTTTATGCAAACAAAGATCCCAGCGGAGGTTTTTGTCCATCGGCAGCATAAATAAACTCTAACGATGCTTCTGAACTGCGGGCAGCCATCGCCTCTCCTGAGGCATACGGACGTGCCGCCTCGAGTCATAGAAAACTTTATCCTGACGGGCTACCGCTTCCCAAACTACAGCCTGTGGGACTGCTTACTGTCAGCGTTCAGGCCCACCAATGAAACGGGCAATTTCTGGACACACTTTCTTCCTGTTTTCATCTTTTTCTACTATTTTGTGGAGGTTTTTGGTTGGGAAGGTGCGCCTGATAGCGGCGAGCCTTTCTTCTATCCGTTGTGGAATTACTTTATTGGGGTGTTCTGTTTACTGATGGCCAGCAGCATGGCTCACCTGCTAAACTCAATGTCTCTGGTGGTAAGAGAGGTTTGCTTCTTCGTGGATTACGGCACCATCAGTGCGTACACCGTCGGCTCATCGTTGGCATACTACTACTACATCCACCCTCAGGCAGGAATAGCAGAGGCAGGGAGCAGCTCCCGGGTGGAGTCGAACCGTGAGGCTGCAGCGTTGCCCTCATCCTATGCAATCCCAGAGTACAGCGTGTTCTTCGAGACCTACTACATCCCGTGTGCGTGTGTCGTAGCAATCATCTGCGTTTTATCCTGCTGCAATACTCGGCAGAGGTGGAGGCAGCATCGCTACATCATCCGGACGCTGGTTTTTCTCCTTCCGTTTCTCATCTCCTCCACACCCATCTTCTACCGCCTCCTCACCCGATCGCCTTACTCCACCTCCTCCTCCTCCTTCACCGCTTCCACCCCCATGGCCTGCTTCTTCTATCGCCACTGCCTCTGGTTGCTGGTGTCAGCCGTCTTCAACATCAGCAAGTTCCCTGAGCGCCTTGCGCCCGGACGCTTTGACATCTGGGGGCACAGCCACCAGTGGTTCCACTGCTGCACGTTTTTGTCCATCCTGGATGAACTTCACATGATCAAGGCTGAGATTAAGGCCATCCTGCTGAGCCCAGCTTTGCTGCTGCCCCCCACCTCCCTCTCCCACCTCCCGGGACCCACTGTTGCGTCCACCTACGGAGTGATGCTCCTCCTCCAGACCACCATTGTCTCCATCATCGTATTGTTCTCCTGGCGGGCCAACTGTATCTATGGATCGCAGAGAGAACAGCTGGAAAAGGAGCACTCCACGAAGCACCTGAAATGTCACTGATCACGGAGAAGTTACTGCCATCATGAAACCCGCCGTATGTTTGGATTAAAAGGATTACATGTTGAGCTCAATGTGTGGTTGAGCATATCTTTGCCAGTTCTTTCCCAGAGCTGCTCCTCACCTTCTAACAGGACGTCTGGGACAACAACTACCTCTCGGGGCTCTGCAATCATGGTTGCTGCCCAGGAGAACTAATGTTCCACTTTACGACTGGTTAACATGGCGTAGACGTTAGTGGGACCATTAAGAACATCTGCTGTTAGGTCCTTTTTGTTGTTCCTCTTCCCGTTTTTATTTCGCCCTTAAACGGTGTGTTGCTGCGGCTGAGCCCATTGTTTCATGTCCGATGATTCCTTTGATAACCTTTTCTTCCTCTTACTTGCACAAACATTCGCACACGAATCTCATTTCCTGTCTGTTTTGCAAGTGACCCTTGCAGCAGGAAGTGTGCGTTGCACGCGACGACAGAAATAGCTGAGAGCTCTTCTGTGTCTCACAGTGAAGCACTTTCAGGGGCTGCTCACACTCGCCCCGTCATTAAGAAGCCATGCTGAACTTTCTGAAAGGACGCAACACTTCAAAGCAAATAACCGCGTCCTTCTGTCAGTTATTGACATGTGAAATGTGTTTGTGTGGTTTTCCCCATACGCTCTGCTGCTTAAAGCAAACTGGTGCATTTATGTCTTTATGGTGAGAGCAAAGTCTGTGCTTCAGAAATGCTGCAGAGCACTGCTCCACTTTAACGTGAGCACAGTGACTGCAGCAGCAGCAGCTCTGTGTCTGAGACCCTTCATGTGCTGAGCAGCCTTCAGAGTCAAAGCCATCGTTTGCAATTTCAGTTCCCTACGAGCTGATATGACCACGCGTGTTATCGTCACATAAAAAGTCTCCAGACTGCAAACATGACAGCTCAGTGTGTCCACAGCTCAGTGTCCACAGCTCAGTGTGTCCACAGCTCAGTCTGTCCACAGCTCGGTGTGTCCACAGCTCGGTGTGTCCACAGCTCAGTGTGTCCACAGCTCAGTGTGTCCACAGCTCAGTGTGTCCACAGCTCAGTGTGTCCACAGCTCAGTGTGTCCACCACGTACGTCAGGATTTAGAAATCTTCATTTTCATGCAGACGTGTTCTACCACAGATCTAAACACACTTTGTCACTTCTGGATGTTCATGACTGGAATATTTTAAACACAGGCTGAAACCTGCAGGGAATGTTGTTAACGCCGCTACGTTCAGTGATTCCAACACGCCAATGATCAGCCCGAGGCTATAAGATTGAGTTAAACGTTAACTTTACCGCCAACTCTTGATCGAGCAAAGTTTAGCTTCGTGGCGTTGCTTCATCACACCTCCTCAGCCATGAGACTTGGAGCCTGTTTGGTTTAGACACCATCCATGTACATCGTGTTATTTAGATGTGGGTTGTCCAGAGAAGCATTAGTAGTGGATGAAGTGGACATATAACCACATGGAGGTGGAGCAGGTCAGGTTGGTGGCTTCATTCCTGGATGTCAAAGTTTACTGGGCGAGACACTCGAAGCACCAGTCGCTGCAGATGTGTTTGAGTGTGAAAGATGTAGAAAAGATGCTCGTGTGAATCTACGGGTGAAAGAGACCTGCTGTATAAAGTGCTTGAGTAGATTAGCTGCATAAGAATCAGATTTTACCACACAGTGACTAATGTCCCCAAATCTGTACTGCTGAACGTAAGTGTGTAATAATGATGATGATTTTAGTTAAACAGAAATATTCTTCTGATCGTTTAGTTTCATGTCTTCCACAAAAAGAAGCGAGACATCGGTGTAGTCCGGTCCTCCACCGCCGGGTTTGCGCTCTTCAAACGGACAATGACCATCTGTGTTTTTTTCTCTTTGACCTGTTTGTTAATCTCACGTGGTGACGTTGTGATCATGTACTAAAATCTGCACATATACCTGCTTATACTTGCACACCACAAACTAATTCTCATGGATCAGAGTTGTTTATTACATGTGACACTGGAATATGTACGGAGGGAAATCATGCTGCACTTTCTTCAGGCTCCTCGCGTGGCTCCTCTGAGGGTCTGTGGTACTGTGATATTTCATTTCAGGTTAAAGTATTGCTGTCTGATGAACGGCCTGAGAGACTCGTCTGTGTTGAAGCAATGTTTTTACCTCAATTCAGCATTCGAATCGTTGTGTTGCTGAGAGAAACCATCGCTGGAACCGATCGTGTCCCAGCGATGGTTGAGTCTGCAGTCTGTTAAGCTGTGTTCAGTATGTGGATGTTAGACTCACTGACTACTCATCTTACCTAGTGAAGTACTCAGGGTGAAGAAAACTCTAATAGATTATTTACACATGCGTTTAATTATGAATGACTTCAGGAGGGTAATTCTAGCACTCAGTGTACAAATCCTTAATCAAATAGTGCATCTTTGAGTTTTCAATAAATTACACAGAGAACTTCTGTCATTGTGGGTCTTTGTTTTCTTTACTGTGCATATGTTTTTTATAATTAATGCAACTTGAATGCTGTCCTTAGCTTCAGCTGCACAAACAGCACTGCTGGTTTCGTTGTAATGTTCCTGTGTCGTTGCGTTAACGTGTGCAGCTGAGCTCCTCCGTTGTTTCCCAGCTTTTCTTTTGCATCGTTTGGATTAAAGAAGTGAGATCAAACATTAAGTGCACCCTTATCTCTGTCCATACAGCTAGCAGGTGTATTTTTTAACCTTTGAACGAATGGATTTGTTATTAATCTTCTCATTGACAGAGGAAAGTAAATGAAAGTGTGACGTGTTCAGTTTCAGCCATCGCACACAGTCCTGGTTCCTGGTTTCTGGCCCCACACAGCTGCGAACATGTCTATAGGTGTTTAGACTCGCTAAGTCAGGGGATCTCAGAGGTTTGAATAATTCAAATGTTTTCAAAGAAGTTCCCTGTCCTGCCCTGATTTGCAAGTCTAGCACTTCCTCCTCTCAGCCTGCTGCATGCATGGTTTCTGTGTTTGTGCTGTAGGTCTGCGGGACCCTACGCTCCGCCGCGTGCACGGACCTGCACGCACAGCTGGCTTTTCCACTTCTACCCCACTGCATCACTTTGCCTCATTTTACTTTAACATCCACAGCTGCAAGAAAGGACATGACATGAACATCAGAGTGGAGATCATCCTCAAGCAGAGCTACTGCTAAGTCAGGGAGCCAAGAAACAGACAAGAAGGTGGTGAAAGCAAAGCTGAGAGTCATGGAGGCAAAGGCTAATGTAAATGAATTCAATGCAGCTTTATTTACACAGCGCCAAATCACAACAACAGTCGCCTCAAGGTGCTTTATATTGTACAGTAGACCCTACAATGATATCTTACATATAGATTGATGAGCTTCTTCAATTGATGATGCAAATTACTACAAGTGTGCAAAACATTTAATATGGGCTCAGTGTGTGGGCCTCAAACCTGTGCAAAGTCCAGTTTTAAGTGAGGAACTTTAACAACATGAGAACCTGAAGTCAGACTATTCAAATATCAGGTGGAACATCGTTTGCAAATGTCTGTACGTTCACAACGAAGACGGTTTGTTTGTTTCATCTACTCATTCAGGTCTGACAGCTGTGAGCTGAGATAAGCTTCGTGGAGGTGGTCTGAACTGGGGAGGGGCAGTGTGGTATTCACCGCTGATAGGCTGAAGGGGAAAACACGACCCTATCAGCTTTCATACAGGATGATGCGCCCACTGTTATTTCCACATGAAACTGACACAGTGATCCCTGAAAAGCTGCAGGTCGGTGAAACAGTGTGAAATAATCAGACTGTGCTGGATTTATTTTGCCTGGTAAGATAATCACGAGTCTGAACACAGCTGCGGTACAACAGCTGCAGCTTCATCCATCGCCACTGTCAGTCACATGAAATGCAAACGTTTTTAAGCTTCTTGTTCTCGATCGTGCAGCGAGGGAAGCACCCAGCAGGGAAACGCAGAAGAGAGAGAGTACCCCAGGATGATGACAGGTGGGTGGGAGGAGCCGGCCGCTGCGCAGGAACGCTGAAACATGTAGGAGAGTGGGGACCAGTGGAGGGTGCTGAGTGGGCCCAGAAGGCAGCAGCTGTTGTCTGTGAACTGTTTGTGTGGGAGACAGAAAGGCTTCCTCTGCTGTCTGCAGGACTCAGCCTCTGTGTGAATGTAGCACAGCTTTTATTTGAGAAATGTCACTAAACTCTCCACACTTCTCTTTTCTCCCACCTAGCTGGGGCTGATCAGCTCGTCCACACCCACACAGCCCCAGTCTCATGCATGCAAGTCTCAGCAGCTCCCTGAATGTTTCTGTGCTCGAAACAATCTCACAGATGCCTCGGGGTCCGCCTGGCTCACTGCTGAGACCTGAAGCAGGCACTGGACTCTGGAGTCAGTCTGCCAGGCGTCTGGTCCCCTTACTGGTGGATCTCTAGATCCAGTAGGTGGTATTCCACAGAGGGGAACTTATAACCCACAGCAGCTGTCTGCTGGTGGCTGTGGAAGCAACACAAAGCACAGCATGGAGAGGAGGGAGCTGAGTCTGGATTTGTTAGCTGCTCTTTGTGCCGTCCTCACCTGCGGTCATGAACCAGTACAAGCTGAAATCTGTTTCCACATGTCTGGGCTTCTTCTCTCTGCACACTGGGAGTAACTGGGAGTAGACCTGCTGCTGCTGCACACTGAGGGGAGCGAGCTGCTTTGGTTGAGGTGCTTCAGCCCCTCTGGTCACCTGGCTTTTGCATCAGGGATCATGGCTTCAGAGCTGGAGAAAACTGCTGGCAGAAAGGAAGCGTGTGCATCTTTGCCTCGTTTGTTGGTGTAAAATCCGTGCTGTGTGAGAGCAGAACTAAACAATGGAGAGCTGCTTTCATGTTGCGCCTGTGCCTTTCTGAGAAGCAGGAAGCTTCGTCTGCCAGTAAACTTCCTGTTCAGCTCTCTGTTCACCCTCTCAGATAGTGAGGCACGTCAGAGAAAGAACCACAAAGCTGTCACTTCCTGTCAGAAAGATATCGTAGATGAAGCCGTTTCAGACCTACTTTTACCTTCAGTCAGCTGGCAGCCTGTTTATGCAGCTGAACGCCGTCCAGTGACTATTTTAAGGCTCCGTCTAAGAGCCAACAAAGAGCGCACACTAACGTAAGCTACACAAGAGAACATGATGAAAGTATAAAGATGACAGGACAGCGCAGCCAGGAACCAGCTTTTATTTCTGAGACTTCATCTGACATGTAAGAGCTACAAAAACTGTGATCCTCAGAACCATGAAACGCAGGACAACAGCGACATGTGTGGATAAAGGAATGTGTTCATGCAGACAGCGAGGATGGACTGGAGGTTTAAATCCCAGCAGGAATAACTGGGAGAAA